AAAAACATAAAAGAATTTATGGATTTTCTTCTAACTCTATAGCTATTTAAAGAAACTTGTGTCTTGAAAAGAGAAAAAAAAATTTTTATATGAATTTGAAAATATTTCAGAATTTGTATATATGCATGACATTCAGTTTCTTTCTTATATGTGTTTCATTTCTTGATTTCTTAATTTCTATCTATTTAGAGGAAAGAGTATCTTTACTGCTTTATTGCAGCTTTCACAATACATTTTTTAATACACTTTGAAATCCAATAATCTTAAATTATTATCTGAAATTGGATTTCCATTCTTGACAATATTAATATTTTGGCATTTGATATATCAATAATATTTTATAAAAGGCAGATCATAAAACGAAACTTCCACACTCTTTCCTGAATTTACGACCTTCATTTTGTATAATAAAAATTGCCAAACAAAAATCATATACTCCACGATTACTTATTCAAATTTTCGCTTTTTTGGCTTTTCAAATGAAGGTATTTTCTTACTGCGCAATGTAAGAAAGCGCAAGAAGTATAACATCGAACATTTTTTTTTCTTCATTAGAAGTTCTCGCCGTTTTTTCGCTAATCTAAGTTCGCTTGTCGTCAAACTTTTTGCCACACTTGACATACATCACAAATTTATATATAAAGTAATCGTATGCTAGGTACTCAAGCAGCTTGTGTCTCCCAATTTCTTCGACGATCGTTAAAGTTTTTTTTTAAAACGACAAAAAACATCTGAAGACATATTGGTAACGAATCTAAAAAAAAGTAGATTTAAATATTGTAGATGATAGTTGAAGAAATCAGAAAAACAATATATGAAAATTAATTCCAGTAAAGTTTTTAAAAATGTAGCAGAAGAAAGTAATTGATCTTTTTATCATATAGAAATATCAAAATAAAGAAATAAAAAAATTATGTATTGTAACAAAAGATAAGAACAACATTTAAAAAACAAGAAATATCAGTAAAATATTTCTTAAGTATAAACTTACTTGCAAAGAAAAAAAATAGGATTTAAAAAGAAGTACATAGAAGAAAAAATTATAAATTTTTAAAAATAGTGCGTTTTTTAGTATTTACAATTGTTTTAAAATAAAAAAGTAATATCTGGCTTTTGTTCCACAATGATCAGAGATAGAAAGTTTTTGCTGACCTTCAATATAATTAAGTTTCAAACTTTGATGAAATTATATAAGTTTCGAACACTTTGTAAAAAATATTTTGCTTCAACAATAAAATCTTTGGTATCAGTAGAGTTTCTTTTATTAAAATTTCTATTATTCCTATAAAATAATAACAACAATAATTTATTTTATACCTAAAATAAAATTAGATCAAACGGGGATAGAACATTCTCCTAATTTTATTTTTAACAAATAATGAAAAAACTTTTGTTTTGAACGTAAATTTAATAATTATAAATTAAATACAATCTTTAAATTTACATATTTTTTAAAAATTAAAAGCAGATCATTTTTATATATTTTTTCACTTCGTTTAAAATTTGAAAAAAAGTTTTTTTAAAAAAAGTAAGAAATAAATTCATCTGGAAAAATTTCAATTTTTTTAAAAATGTTAATTTTTTAAATTCACTTAATTTAATATTTAAAAAAATATATTTTAAAGTATTTGATTCAAAGGAATTTTTAAATTTATAACTTATTGAGTTCAAAAAAAGTGATTTTAAATAATTTAAAATTTAATTATATAATTGAATTTTATAGAATTAATTCCAAAAAGATTACTTTGTTGTTGCAGTAAAATGTTTCCTACAATATAATAATGAAAATAGAATTTGAATTACCTTGAGAAAAGAAAATAAGGACTTCCTAAAATTTTTGATAAATTTTTAGTTCAATTATTGCAACAAAGTAGTTTTTATTGAAAAAATATGACAATAAAAATATTTTGCGCAGCCAAGGCAAAAAATTTCTTTTTCAGTGTATTAATATTAATCTTAAATTTTTGGTAAGTTTTGAAATGATAATAAAAGTACATTATGTATTGAACCGTTGACAAAAGTATATATATATATATATATATATATATTCTCCCATGAAAACTTGATTATATCTCTAATTAGTTTTTAACGACGACATAGAATTTTTTTCGCGAGGAATAAATATTTAAAAATAGAAATAACAAATCGTCCTGCGAAATACATAACTATGGCAGATGTATAGAATTTGTACGATAAATGTGCGCAATAGAATGTTTACTACACAATGGAATTCTATTTTCTTTTGTTGAATGGTCAAAAAATACACCAAGCTCGTTAAAACAATTTTCATATTAAAGAATATTTAAATCCTCAACGCACGTCAAACAAATCAGGTGCAAACAGTGTATTTACAGGCTACAACATACAAACATTATCTAATTTTTAGTGCTACGCAATATTATCATTATATTGCATATAAATAAAAATATATATATGTATATATATATAAATATTTATATGCTCATATATAACCATTTACTCATATTTTTTATATCGTAGACTATAATTAATTTACACTCTAAATGCTACAGTACATTTTCCCTTTTGTTTGGTTTTTTTTATTTAGCAATACGATACACAGTAGGACTCTGCTGCAGTTAATATAAGAAGGTTTTTTGCAACTTTTTATTTTCATTTTATTCAACGATAACACTTAATGATAAAAATACGCACGCTGTGATAAAAATAAATAGTGTCAAAAACGACAAGTATTGCCAAGTTGTCAATTTTATCTGAAATGCCAGACGCTTTATATCAAAGCTTTTTAACTAGAGGATGACAGCTATCATAAAGTCATGGGATATACATATTATGCTAAGGGAACTGAATTCATATTTTTCTTTATAACAATTTCTTCGATTTCAATAAGTTTTAAATGAGAAACGAATTGCTTGAGTTTCATTTAGTAATATGTAATGAAAAAATTTGAACACATTTTTTAAAATTCTTTTATTTTGGAAAAAATTTGAAAATTTAATTTTGAACAGAACAATTACAAGTTTAGTTATTTAAAATAAGTTTATAATAGCTTATTTATATGTTTTTATTTAATTTGGGTTGTTTTCACAAAAAAATTACTTTTATTATTGTGAATATTTTTAAATTTTCACAATTCGTTTCCCTTTAGATAGTTGTCAGTCGCAGAAGCGAAGAAAAGATGTTGTTTTCTAACAATTTCGGGACGCATTAATATATACACCATAAAAATTATAATTTGTTTACTATAAAAACTCCCAAGCACCAAGTCTTAAGAGCATTTGAACCTTCGTGACGTCACAAATCATGGCGCATGACACGCAAACTTCTCAGGTATGTGAAAAGCACAATTTTGAATATTTTTTAAAAAACCTTTTGGAAAATGTTCAGAATAACATAGACTCTGTCTGTTATGTGCGGAAAATTCAAAATTTTGCGTATAAAACGTTTTTTAAACAATGTTTAAGTTGGTTGTCACAAGTAAGGAAAAATACACGAATTGCTTATATGTAGGCATTGTTTAAAAAACGTTTTAAACGCAAAATTTTGAATTTTTCGCACATAACAGACAGAGTCTGTGTTGTTCTGAATATTTTCCAAAAGGTTTTTTTAAAAAATATTCAAAATTGTGCTTTTCACATACCTGAGAAGTTTGCGTGTCATGCGCCATGATTTGTGACGTCACGAAGGTTCAAATGCTCTTAAAGGAATTTGAATTTTTTTTGTTGTTAAATTTAATCCATCATATTGGATTCGCTATTTTGAATTTCAAAAATTTTACTTTATTTTCATAATCAGTGATTTCAAAAACCTATAAATATCAAGATTCCATCGAATTCAATTAATTTTTAAATTTGTTAGTCTAACATTTTTTCTGTACGGCAAAAAATGTACCAAGTATATTTTTTTAAGATTAGAAAAAAACACGAACTAAATTTTGAATATTGATCTTGAATTCGAATTTAATTAGTAAAATACGTAAGAATTGAAAAGTCTGGTCAGTTGTACTAAAATTTTTGTCAACATAGCCTTTAACATTTAAAAATTAAAAAATAAGAAAGTATAAATGACTGCTAAATAAATTTTCAAGTTTACTATTCTTTTTTAGTTGCAGAGTCAAAAGAATGGAATTCATTCAAACAAATTTTATTGTACAAAAATACGAGTAAATCAAAATTGAAATGAAAATGGTGATTCACTGAAGTGAAAATTTTAATTGTCATAAGTGTTGAAAATTCGCCATAATAAAATTTCTCAATTAATTTATTTTTCGATTAAATAATAGTTCTAGACTTAATTTTAAAAACGCTAAAAATAAGGATTAATCCTGATAATTTTTATGGTTCCATGCGCTCCGAAATTTCCCGGATGCATTCAGTTATTGTTAACAACAGCAGATTACCAGTATATAATAATAAAAATAATAATAATTTAAATTTAGTGTATAATTAAGGTACACCGATCACAATTGATTATTTGAAATTCTTCAAAAAATGTTTCGCATTTTAAATGTATTTTATTCACTTTTTTTCTTTGGTTCATCAATACAAAAATTCCGTCAAAAATATTTTTCCTTTTTATTGTTTGCTAGTAATAATCATTATTACATATCAGGACAATTTGATGATCGTTTTATCTGAAGGCTTTGAAATTCAATGCTTTTTTATCATGGAATAATTTTTCTATTTTTAAAAAATTGTTTTTTTCTCAGTTCCACAGTTTTTTTTTTCATTTTTTCGCAACTATTCGAATTTTCTGCAGCTATTTACATTTGTTACAGATTATTTAAATTTTTTAATATTAATAATTAATTTTTTTAATTATTGTGGCTTTTATAATTTTTAATATAATAATTTCAAAATTATTTTTAGCTATTTAAAATTTTGTTTAGCTACATTCTTAAAATTTTTAATCTATTAAATTTTAATGTAACTGTTCGATTTTCTAATTTGAGCTCTTCTTTAAATCAGCTTCACAGTTATTTGTTTTTTTTTTCTTTATATATATATATATATATATATATATATATATATATATATATATATATATATATATATATATATATATATATATATAAATCAAAAGCCCTCTAATTTGTCGATCTGCGACTTTCAATAAAAGTTCCCGTCGCTTTGATGTCCCCTCTAGTATATGAGCACATGTTTTTTTCGCAACTCACAAAACAGTTGGAATTTTGAACATGATTTTTCCCTCTACACTGGCGATAAAAAAATTAATTTAGGATAGAATTTTTTTCCACTGTAATTGCTAGCAAATAAAGGATAAGAAAGTAATGAAAGATATCGTTTTTTGAAACTTCACTAGTTAAGGTCGAGTTTTTTACATTTATTCAAAACCAATGAAAAGTATTACAATTTTGAACTTAGAAACTAAAATTATATTCTTATAGAATAAAATTATTATATTTATATAACAGTAAAATATAAATAAATAAATTATATATATAATAAATATTTGAAATATAATATAGATAATGTTATAAAATAATGTTTGAATTTTATTATAAAAAAATTCAACTGTTGAAGTATATTTTGATTTGAATTTTGTTAGAAAAATAAAAATTATGCGTTGCAAAAACCAAGAAGTTGAGCAACTCAAAATTAAATTTTATTCTAAAAGATTTAAAAAAACGCAATTACCAACAAAACATTTTGTTTATGTACAAAATAGTTTTTTATAACCTGAGAATTTTCAATATATTTCTATGTTTAATATAACTTGATGAAGTAAATTGTCGTAACTTAAAAAATATTTTATTATAAAAACAAAAAAAAAACCGCTGCCAAGTTATAGTACATATTGCTTCCTCATAGATTTATATTTGTTTTGTGGTCATTTCATGAACATTTTTCTTTCTTATAGAGATTTAAGTCAATAACTAAAAAATGCAAAAAAGTCAGATTTAAAAAAATTTTATTTTTAAACCGTTAATAATTCCGTCATATTTTATTTTTAAAGATTCCAAAATATGTCAAAAGATGCGTCTTAAAAAGCTCTACAAATTAAAAGAAAAATATCTATAGATTTTCATACTCTTTTTTAAGTTATGGGCAAAAAACGTTTCTTTGAAAATTTTAACTTTAGAAAAAAGTTGAACTTGGTTAATCCTTAAAATATGGCCAAAAATCCCACTCGAATTTTTTCGTCAAAACAATACTTCCACAATGAGGAAGCAAAATGTAATATAAAACAAATTTGGATTATAACGTTTTTTATTTTGTAAGATAAAACATAAAATTTTTGTAAACTTAAAATTAAAGTAATTGAAAGATGAGATTTTAGAATATTTACCGAAAGTTATTTTCAAGCTGAGTAAAGGCAAACGAAAATGACTACGGAATTTATCACAATGGAAGTTTATACTCAACTTGAAGAAACTTGGCGAGTTTACAGTTGAACAATGAACTTATGTTACTTGCAACCAAGTTGTATTAGTTTTAAAACATCATTTCAGGTAAACAAGAATCTCTCTTGAGTTAATGATATGCTCTAAATTTTGCGCGTACGTCTTAACTAGTGAATTCAAAAATGATATCGAATCGAATTTTTTTTGTCCTACAAAGTCCTATTTAGATTTCGACTAGATTATAATGATGAGGATGATTTCTATAAGAGTAATTTTTTTCAATAATACTATAGACTTTTGTCGTCCGTATAAAACAACGGTCGATTTTTGCCATCAGTGTGAATATTCCAATCACAAAAGTATTTTCTGTTTCGCCCCACAATTAATATATGTATATGTCCTTAAATACTTTCTATTCTTACAAGATTTCTCAATATCTTATTACAGAGCTAAAAAATTAGTCAATTGCTTAATTAGTCGGATTTAATCAACTCACGGAGAGAAAAATTCCATTGGATTTTGAGTCTCTCTTCAATCTTTTCAATTGATTATTCAAAGGGGGATTTTTTTTATTGACTGCGGTCAGGGCGCTTTTTAGAAATATTTCTCTTCGCGAGGAAAAAAAAGATTCTGATGATGGCGATTTTTAACGTCTGGCACTGAGTTTTTTTTATTTATTCTTCTTTTGTGAATTTAGTAGTCAGCAGTTGACTACTTGCATATATATGAAAAACGACGAATGAGATTATTCGAAAGAATGAACAGTGCGAGATTGTATTTTCTCTCCATTATCTTTTTTTCTACCCATTGTTTTAGAGATCGCTGCCCGCTTTTTTCCATATCTTTTGTTTCCAATAAACCTTTTCTTTCTCTCTCTCTTTCCCATTTCTTCGTTTCTCTAGGTTCCTTATTTTCCCGCTTCTTCTACTTTTTGTTTGTTTGTCTTCATTATCATGCATCCATTATATCCCCTCTGCTTTTTTTTAGTTTTCAGAGCAGAAATTTTTCTGGATTTTTTGATAAATGACAGGCACGCTGAGAAGAGCGAATATTTTTTTTAATGATTCTCATGTTGATCGTTCGTACTTTTTAGAATGCGAGTCGAGAACATGCAAAGAAAGTAAAATTCAAAGAATTGGAAGCTGTAGTTTTTTATTCCGGTTTTAGACGATGCCACAATGTGACGGTTTGCTTTGGTTTCGTAATCATTTCCTGCCAATGCTTCGTCTCGGATACACCACTTCCATTTTTCCCTGTAACAAAAATTGCTAAATAAGGAATTTTCTCCAATATATACTATCCAACCAGATTTGCGAGATTTTATTGCATTATTTCATGCGAAATAAAAAACTGTTTATAGTATCATTTTTTTTATTACTTTCTTAATATTCTTACAAAATTTAAAATTGGTTTAAAAAAAGTTTTAATAAAATAAAATTAATCAACTGAAAAATTTTTATGTAACCAAATAACTTTGATTAATTACTTTTTTTATTAAAAATATAAATAAAATATAATGTAGTAAAAATCGCAATTAAAATAAATTATTGAATTTTTCATATGGAAAAAACTATAATGCCAAGATAATCATCTTTCTTTTAGGTTTAAGGATTTTATTATAAATTTTGCTTCCTCGTGGAGGAAGCTTTGTAGTCTTTTCGTTTATAAAACTTTTCAAAGTGGCGGAAACAAATTTTTTTCTTTATAGAAACATGTTATATGAGATCCTAATCAATTATCCGGATGAATGTATGTGTGTGTGTGTGGATCCCTTTTTTGTTTAGAAGATAACATTAACAGGTTTTAATGGATTTAGATAAAATTTGGTAGGCTTATTTATCATATTAATATCTCAAATCTGACCAAAGGATTTTGAAAAATACCCAAAAAAAAATTTTTATCGTCTTTTTTCCAAAAAATTTTTTTTAATCGAAAAAATTTTTAAATAGAAAAATTTAAGGTTATAATATATAATAAAATCGTATTCCTTACATCAAGACGAATCGATCGATATATATAAAGTATACATTTAAGGTAAATTTAAATAAAATTTTGCTTTCTCCACGAGGAAGCAAATTTTTTTGCTGATCGTAAAGAGGAAGCAAAATGTCCATGTAATGAACATCTGAATTTACAACTTGTTTAAGATTTATGAAAATGAACACTAATGTGCGTCAAAATTTTTTTGGTTAGAAAATGAAATACTTTCAATGGATTATTCCCCGATTTAACCAAAAAAGTTCATCTGAAATATTAACGACACTGGAAAAGTAGTATAATATAAAGAGAATTAAAATACACATACTATAATATAGTAAAATTAATTTTTTTCTCGTAAGATAAGAATTTATTTTTTGAAATTCTTAGAAATAACATTTTTTATTAAATGTTTAATCACCTTAACTTTTAATTTTTTAAATATTTAAAAATTCTAAATTATTCAAAAATAATTCTAAAATTTATTTAAAAAAAAGTAAAATTAGGTACCTTTTAAAATCGCTGGAAAAGAATAAAATTGAAAACATTAATTCTATTTAATTCTAAAAATCCTCTCTTATTCATCTTAATTTCTGACTAGCGATGTATCCTCGCTCGCTAACGCTCGCTCGAGAGAATTTCTATTATCAATTATTAACCTAATGTTTTGTACTTATATTAAATGTATCTTTTAATATAATATATGATAGTGTAAATGTGTGTATGTTATACATAACATTATTATGTTTTTTTTATTTATGTTTATTATTATTATTTATAGTGTTATGTCTATGTGAATGTATGCGTATATTTTTATAATATTATTTATTGTTATATGTTATATTATATATATACATGTATATTATATATATATATATATATATATATATATATATATATATATTATAATTCATAATCTAAAAAAATATATATAGGCAATAAATATTTTAAAAATATAATAATAAGCCGTCAAAAAAAATGAAGAATTATTTAAATAAATAATAAATAATTAATAATAAGGAATACGATTCAAACATAAATATAACATAAATCTATTCCCTGGCGGATTGGGAAAACCGAGTTGTAACCGAATTGGGCGAGGGGCTGTTCACTGAAAATCCAATTGAACAATATTTGAGAATTCATTAAAGATTTTTAAGGATTGCTAGTCATTTTTGTAATTCCTATTTTGAAATTAAGGGAAATAGTGCTTTCATTTTATTTGAAGTAATTACTTGCAATAGTAAGATTGCAAGAAAAATAGATTAATTGTATAATTCGCCGCCGAATTCGCTCGTATGTCTCCGTAACCATTCGTGACTCGCAACAATTCTTACTGCATGATTTAGAATTTTACTGGAATCGACGAGATTCGTTTGGATTCGCATAATATTCGACAAATTCGAACGTCCTTTTCAATAATCGTCGGTAATCTCTAATTAAAATACAATATATTCAGAATCAATAAATTTACATTTTCTCATGTTAATTGATGCATATTCGGAAGATACCTAGTATATTCTCTACATTACAAATCGGGTATTCGAGAGTGAACAGCCCCTCGGAATTGGGTTACGATTCGGTTACGTTTCGGTTCATTGTGAAATATTATCGTTAATCGACGAAATATGTAGTAAATAACTATTAGGAATGGTTAATATACATTTAGAGTGCTTATTTATGCAATAATAATAATAATAAATTAAGATATAATTAATTAATAATAAGTGTTTTAAGTGTACAGTGCATACAGTTGTTGAATTACCATATATATGTATATTACCATAAGCGGCAGCTGTGATACGCGCGTTAAACCCTAGATGGCGTTAAGGATGACTTTGTGAATGAATTTCTAAAATTAAGCCCTTGAGTGTCAAATGTGTAAGTGAATATATAAGTTTTAAAAAAATAGATCAATTTATTAAAACAACTTTTTTGATTTGTACAAATATAAAAAAAAAAATTTTTTATACCGAACAAAAATTTTTTTAATGAGAAAAAGTTTTTTTATGTCAAAATTAATGTTTCTCATTTCATTGAGAAAAAAAATTTTTTATTCAGAAAAAAAAAATTTTTTCGGGAAAAAAAGTTTTTTTATGTCAAAATTAATGTTTCTCATTTTATTGAGGAAAAAAATTATTTTAAGAATAAAAAATTTTTTTAGAAAAAAATTTTTTTCAAAATTAATCTTTCTCATTTTATTGATGAAAAAAAATGTTTATTTTTTTATTTGTTTAATTATAATAATAATAATAATAATAATAATTAAACATATAACAAAAATAATTTTAAATAATAATTATTATAATAATAATAATTAAACAAATAACAAAAATAAACATTTTTTTTCTTTATATAATTTTTTTTTCATCAATAAAATGAGAAAGATTAATTTTGAAAAAAACTTTTTCCAATAAAATTTTTTATTCTTAAAATAATTTTTTTTCTCAATGAAATGAGAAACATTAATTTTGACATAAAAAAACTTTTTCTCATTAAAAAAATTTTTGTTCGGTATAAAAATTTTTTTTTTTATATTTGTACAAATCAAAAAAGTTGTTTTAATAAATTGATCTATTTTTTTAAAACTTATATATTCACTTACACATTTGACACTCAAGGGCTTAATTTTAGAAATTCATTCACAAAGTCATCCTTAACGCCATCTAGGGTTTTATCGCGCGTATCACAGCTGCCGCTTATGGTAATATACATATATATGGTAATTCAACAACTGTATGCACTGTACACTTAAAACACTTATTATTAATTAATTATATCTTAATTTATTATTATTATTATTACATAAATAAGCACTCTAAATGTATATTAACCATTCCTAATAGTTATTTACTACATATTTCGTCTATTAACGATAGTATTTCACAATGAACCGAAACGTAACCGAATCGTAACCCAATTCGGTTACAACTCGGTTTTCCCAATCCGCCAGGGTTATAATATAAATTTCAGTAGTGGGATTACGAATAGCGCTAGTCGCTATGTAGCGCTTTTCGCTATTTAGGGTTAAAAACTTACATATTTTTAGTGAAATTTGTTCTAAATGATGTCCAAAATAAAATAGCGTTGACAGTTTTTTAAAATCTTAAACTGCAAGATCTTTGACATAGAATTCATGTCAATTTCCTCACGCAGTAGTATAAGGAGACGTAACGCCATGCATTCAAAGCAACCCCAAATGCGTGTCCTAGAGTTACTAAGGTTCAGAGTTGCCAATGACCCTACCTAAACGCTACTGCGCTTGCGCTACAACAACTCTCTTATAGGTCGAAAAAAGCGCGCTTATATAAAATGCTTAATAATAAGAAAACGTTAATAAAGCGATATAAAACTATTTTCACTAAATTGAATTTATTTTTTTTTGTTAATTATATTGCTTCTTTATAAAAAAAATATTAATTTACTTAATGTTCTTAAGTATGTAAAAATAATAATAATAATTATTATAATATTAATAATTTTATTATATTTATATCATTATTGTTATTATTTTTTTATAAAATATATAATCTATTATTATTATTATCAATTTAATATTTATTAACTAATTTTATAATATATTATTTATTTTTGTTATTATCATTAAATTGTTATTTATTAATTATCTATGATATATACATATATATTTTTTTAAAACTTTAGCGAAATTTTTTTGTACTTTTTTATGAGGAAAATTTGAATTGGGAAAAAAGTACAAAAAAAATTCGATACATTTTTTTGAAATATATAGATATAATACATTCATAGATATTTAATAATAATTTATTGAAAATAATGATAATAATAATAAATATTATATTGATGATAATAATAATAGATTATGAATATTTTATTTAAAAATTAATTACAATAATGATATAAATAAAATAAAATTATTATTATATACTTAAGTACATTAAGTAAATTAATTTTTTTTTATTAGGAAGCAATATAATTAACAGAAAAAATAAATTCAATATTGAAAATAGTTTTATATTGCTTTATTAAAGTTTTCTTATTATTAAGCATTTTATATTAGCGCGCTTTTTCGACCTATAAGAGAGTTGTCGTAACGCAAGCGCAGTAGCGTTTAGGTAGGGTCATTGGCAACTCTGCTAAGGTTTTCGAATAATGCTCTTGTAGCGCCTCTACTGAGATAAATCGGAATCAAAATATATCGTCTGCTATCGCGTAAACAACTGTAGTTGACAGCAAAAGTGTTTTGATCACGAAGTGGTTTTGATAAAATATTGTGTAATAAATAAATAATAAAATA